CCCCCCCCCCCCCGAAAAGAATGCCTGAACTACTTGGATATCTTCAAACCACAATATTAAAAAAAATGTCATGGATATTTCACCAGCAATTGATTTAAAATTCAATGATAAATTTACCTGAAATTTCCTGATTTCTGTTAGTTTCCATAACAAAATTGATAATCAAACTCAAATGTACAGTTTCTATGGATTTTTTCATCAAATTGTGATTATTTTATGACCCAAGTTCGTTAAATTCCACTGGACTATCACTTGCAAAAATTTATCGAAAATTAAAGCAGAAATTTCAGCAAACGATTTTCAACAGTGCAAATAAAACTCTTCATTTGCAATCTTTCCATTCATTTTAACAAGATCTCTAATGTGGATAACAATGTTTCAATAGTATGAAATTTAAAAGATTCCTTTATTCATTCCAAATGAATCTTCTATTAAAGTTGAAAGAGCTATTGATTTGGCCCGAATAAAGCGTTATGGGGTTTTAATAAATTCGTTCTCTTTGCCGCCTGAGCGGTGATTTCAGTTCTAATTGCTAGATTTTTTATCAACAACTAAGAAACATGTATTCATATTTAAAGAACTCTTCATGCGATATGAATAAAAAAGCAAACGAAAATCAATTGCAAGTTTGAATAAATGCTTTATGACGAGAAATTCGAATAAATCCATTTATTTCATCCCAAGTTTATTTATTCAATGTTCATTTAATTCAAATAAATCATTCCTCTGGGTGTATATGTTCCAAATGCAAATCATGAGAAGCCAAACACTTCAACAGATACCCTTCAGCATTTTGATAACGAATTGATAGTTTGTTAATATAATACCGAATTTGATATGAACAAAATTTATGGGTGGACATATTTTTCACCCAAGACCTAAAAATTCTATTAAATATCAGTGCATCCATGCATATCCGCGAAACTTCGAAAATTGGAGGAAAACGGGAATGAAAAAATTCAAACGAGATGCAAATTGTCGTCTGTACCTCAATTTACTCGTTCCTGTTAGCAATTTCTATCGGAATTAAAAATTCTATGTTTTTGAAACGATCCGGGTTTATTCATCACAATGAAGGATGAATCACCGTACGTTGTCAGAACTTCATCATCTTTTTATTTATTTATTTATTTATTTAAGCTTCTTATTTATGTCTTGGGGCACAAACTGGCCCCATAAGGGCAATCCCCCCATGTGATCCACATATGACTGTCATGATCCGTATTTTGACCCTTGTGACCCTTAATCTGACCCTCATTATACTCCTCGTCGCCCTTATTTTGACCCTGGTGACCCTTAGTTTTGGAGTCTTAATTTCGAGTACCAAATTTTCATGACCCAAAGTCGATTTGGATTTTTATAATATAGAGAGACAAAGTAAGACCAAGAGAAAAAAATATACATAATGAATTAATTATTGTATAATTACATTTTCTGGTATGACTAGATCTTTCACCTCGTTAACACGAGAAATGCTTCTTTTTCTTTATTCACGTGTCAAATCTATTAAATTTAGTACATATACAATATAAGGGTAAAAAGTGGAGTTTAAAAAATGAGGGTCAGAATGTTACAGTTAAAAAACGAGGGCCAGAATATTAGGATAAAAAAATTAGGGTCAGAATATAGAAGTAAAAAATGTGGGTGTCAGGCAATGAGGGTCATATAAGGGCTCAAGACGGCGATCAAGCATAATATATGACTGGTATTTAGACCCTCATTACTTGACACCCACTTTTTTTACTTTTATCATATTCTGACGCGTATTTTTAAACCTCCACTTTTTGGCCCTTGAATTTTGACACTTTGTGCCTGACCGTTATATTAGACTTAATAGGGCTTGCTACAACCCGGGCTGATAAAAAAGAATCATCTTCGAATTGAAATACCCATCCCCCAATTGAGTATAAAATATACTTGAATCAAGTATATTTTATAGTCAATTAAGGATGTATTGCACCTCTATCGCCAACATCTTTTTGACTTTTTCTGATAAATTGTTGATCGGATTGACGTGAAAAAATACACCGTTTTTGCGTTTTATCATTACTTAATGGCTCGTGAAATTTCATGATGGTGCAATCATTTTCCCGCGTTTTTTTTAAAGCTTTTCGGAAATTCACAAAACTTTAGAAAAAAATGCAGGAGAATGATTGCACTACCATGAAACTTCGTGAGTCAGTCAATAATGATAAAATCCAAAAACGGTATATTATTTCGCGCCAAATCGATCAATAATTTGCTATAAAAATGAAAAAAACGTGGATTTTGGCTGAAAAGGTGTAGTACATCCTTAAAAAATATACCTGAATTGAGTATAAAACACTGTTGAATCAAATATATTTTAGACTTAATTCAGGTATATTTTTTTCCCCATAAAAAGAAATGTCGATATAAAATAATTTCGCGAAACGCTTTAGGAAACCGGATTTTCGTGTATTTTTCAGGAACAATGTACGCTGTGTAGATGAAAACGAATTATTTCGTGATGTGGTTTAGGAGGAAGATTTAATATTCGGATCGACGGAGAGAATCCCCGCTTTTCACACATGCAGCGCTCTAATGCGCATGAATTTGATGTGATGCCCCATAATACGAGAGGTTCTCAGCTCAGTTATTATTCTCATTCAAACTTCCTCACGAGTGGCGTTCAGACATTGCTCCGGCTAAATCAGGAGGGATTATTAACAACTCGGTTACTCGTTAAGTAAACCATGTAGTCCCTTGTGCCCACAAAAACGAGAATCTATATTTCGATTCGGGAAGCGTTAACCGCCCGCAGGGAAATATCTCAAGTGAAACTACATTTGTTGTGCCAGACGATGTCTAATGCACACCGAGAAGTTCATTTGAATTAAATAAATATGTCGCTGCATCGTAATTTTCAATGCTGCGAATTTGAATTGAATTCAGAATCAAAATATTTATGGAGTTTCTTATTAATCTTGAAAATTCAAAGCACATGAGTTTTTTTCATAGATCGGCATCAATCATTACTTTAGTAGGGGAGGTAGGGCAAAATGGACCCCTAGGGCAAAACGGACCCCTAGGGCAAAACGGACCACTGATAGAAAATTGATAATTGTTTCATTTTTTGTTTTCACATGAAAGCAAAAACAAAAATTCAAAATCATTTGTGGTTTGAGGTGATTAGCAAATCTGATCAAATTGCGGTTCAACGACACTTCTTGTCTATAAAACCCCTGTGACGGTTATAATCCTGAAGCTCACTTTTAATTCAACACATTCAGTGTTCCTGATTTGAAGGAAAGAAAAAAATTGACCAATTTTCTGTCAGTGGTCCGTTTTGCCCTAGGAGTCCGTTTTACCCTCCCGGTCCGTTTTGCCCGACCCTCCCCTAATATTATAAGAAGTTACACCTGATAGTAATTTAGATTTATTTATCGTAATTGAAATTTGAAAAATATAGTATAATAATTGCTAATTTCATTTCTTAATTATTGGTTGATAAAATAATTCTGAATTTGAAAATTTAAGTTGCTGGTTATTTCTAGAATAAAAAATTGGTGCGTAATATTAACAATTGACTTATTAACAGGACGAATATTAACAGTGTACGGAAAGAAAAATTCAATAAAAATTACCAGAGAAAAAACGTAACAATTACGTTTCGACACGTATTCCACGAGCGAAGTAAAATTCAACAAAAAGTGTGAGACGGAGCTGAAATTGTACGAATCGCCACGTAAATTCTACGATTTGTTTCGTAAAAATTAACCGCCCGTCTGATGACTCACCGCTGTGGGGACAACAAGTCGGTTCGTAATTTTTTCCCAACGATTGAGAAATTTTATTGGAACGGAACGTAGAAATAACTCACCAGCTTCATAAAAATTGTTGAACGTTCAAGAATTTTTTATTTTGGAGGCATAATAAGTTGGAAAGTTTCTGCAAGATTTTATTTCTTCGGGGAAAATTGCATGACAATTTCGTACTTTGTTCGGTGATAAACCTGAGAATTTACTGAACGGTTCAGATTTCTTCTCTTCCGTTCCTATAAAAATTTCCGGAAAACAATTCCTTCTTGCGGATTATAATATTTCTCTCCGCATGAAAAAGAATTTAAGCCTTGAGAGGGTCTGAATGTGCAATTATTTGACAGCACGAAATAATGCGCAAAATTTCGATGACATTTCAATTGATGATAGTACTATGACATGACAAAATAGAAGAAGACAATAATTATGTTCATTCATAAAAAAAAATGCCAATGTTCACTTGTTTTCGACTGATTTGAAACCTCACTGATTCGGCCAATTCAATCAAAATATATAATTCAAAATATATATTGTCATACTCACCGGGTGCGATATAGGCAATAATACTCTGGCTGATGAATTTTCAATGTTGTACACCATCAAATCTCCGCTTTCATTCCTGTACAGGATTTCATCATCTGAAAGCAAAATCAATGAATCATAAAAATCAGTAAACAAAAATCAACATAAAACGAATGAGAAATATTAAATTTTCACTCTGAAAGTGAATGCACGTGATGTCATGCACGTGATGGCGTTCAACAAATGCGTTGAAGGTGTGAGCGTGCGATTCACCACCAGTAATTGAATTTATTCGCACCATCAACTAAACATCCATAAACTGCAAACGCTGAATGGATAAATCGATTCACACATGGGCCATCCTCGTTTCGTATATCTATCCGGATATTAACGGGAGAGTGACACACTCGGCGAAGTGTTTGTATCGTTGGGAGTGATCTCTACTCGTCGTCATCGTGTACACGCGAAATTTCAATCTCCATTCTACTGGAAGGGTTTACGCATCCCCTTGTTTTGTGTCTGTCTGCGGATACGGTACAACGTGTCATTTCCGGTTGCCACCGTTTATTGCTGTCAAGCACCTCGGTATTGTCCCACTGTAGTTTTCGATGCTCAGGGTGGACAATGTGGGAAATACATATATTTTTTTTTCTGGGTGGAACGGAAATTACTGAGCAATGGATGTGTCAGGATATTCATTACAGATTTTAGAGGAAGAGAAGTGGGATTTTAATACACCGTTGAGCATTTCTCGGAGATATTTCCAGTGCACTTGTGGAAATTGTACACTGTTAACAATTTTTGTCTGAAATTTCCGGTAGACTTTGTGGAAAATTTTATCGAATTTAATTACCAGTGAAATTTCAAGGAATTTCGTAATTGAAAATTCAGAATTTCGTGGAAAAATTAAAAAGAACTGACAATTTCAGTTCCATTTTTCCCTGAAAATAAATAGAAAATTAGAGTGAATATATTCTTGAATTTTCAAGACAGTGTAAATAAATAAATTGAGGAATTCTCATCTTTATGCTGCTTAAAATTATGAAATTTTAATGAATTTTCGGTCAAACCTGAAATTTCATAATTTTTTTTTCGCTAAATCGCATTCAGTGTCACTATCCTGAAAACTAGTAGTCAATTGTGCATGAAATTGCATTTTTCGTATCTAACAGTCTAGTCAAATGACAGTTCTACGGATTTTTCAAGGACTTTGATAATTAACAATTTTTAAAGTCAATTGTATTTTGATAATTCATCAGACTACTCAAAATGATAATTTCACAGTTGCCTGTCAACTGTTCCCTCCGATTTTGACATTCTAATTTGTGACAAAAGCTCGTGTGAGATTGTGTTAATTTGATTCGAGATAAAGAGTTATTCAAAATGACTCGATTTGGTCAGAATTCTTTACGAGAAATTGACAACAAGATTAACCATTTTTTTCATCTGTGAGATGTTTGTATAAGGTGACGCGTATAACGTAACTTCGACCACTGCTATCTGATTGGTCGACCCCAGAAGGAAGGAAATTCTCTTCCGAATACCGCTCATTCAAAATTAATCAGATATTGTCCTCACATATCAATTTGCTATAAAAATCAGTAGAAATTGTAAATTTTAGTTCAATTACAGTTGAGGAACCGGTATCCGAACGACCCCCAGTAGGAGAATTTCTGTCTCCATTCAAATAGCATTGTCGGATATTGGACCATTGGACATTCGGATACCGGGACCATCGAAATGACCTGTCGTCAGATGGACAGTCAGATACCGGGCCATTAGACTCTCTCCATTAGTTACCCTCATATTCATGGAATAATCGAAAACAAAGTTGAAAATTTATTTATTTATGTGGAGAACATCCCGATAAATGTCTCCAATCCTTCGTACATATAACTTGAACGGAAACAGAATCAAGTTTATCAACGACTCAAGTTTATGGCCAACGGAAAGCTTAGACTGTTAAATACGGGTATCTCCATGGTATTTCGTAGAAATGAATAAAAGTTATGATGTTAGGAATTGCTATCAAGTGTTCTATTGAAACTTCAAAGAATATTGTCCTTGAAAATTCTGAAACTGATGAAAAAATTAATGAAAATTAATGATCAGTATATTTCAGTTCAATTATTACATGAAAATTGATAAAAATCAGGAAAATTTATGTAAATATATTGTTAAATTCCCAAACAATAGACACATAGAAAATGTACTCTAACTCAGTACGGACAATTCACTTTTCGATTGTAAATGAAAGTAAATTTGGAGATTTCTCATCTTTCTGTTGCTCGAAAATCTTAAGGGTGCCAAGTGAATTTGGCGATGACCTTGAAAATTGACATTCACCAACAAAGTTATAATTTTTTTAATTAATAGTATTAGACAGATGGTGAACATCGGTGACAATTTTAAAATTTTATAACTTATGGATATCGAGAAATTAAATAAACAAAATCAGTCTTATACACGGCCTCTTATGGAGTTTTGATTAAATTGAACGTTTCAATCCCCTAGGAACTCAAGAAAAATTTGAAAAAATTTGAAGATATGGGGAATGATGTGTTCAATGTGATGGCAACAAAAAACAATGGGGTA